TGTATTCGTCCGAGTTAAGTCCAAGAGAATTGAATTTATTCAAATAGCTTAACCTCAAGGATAGGGTAATTTAGGAGTGTAGGAGTCTCTAAATTTCTTGGGCACCAAAATACCGAATATAACTTTCAAATACAGGGGTTGAGTATGTTGTATTAAAACTTCTTGATTGTTACATATTGATGCTTGTTGTACGTGGATGCATTTTAACACTGATTTTTGTGTTCTTAGATCTTCATGGCTTGGATACGACTTGTTGCAAGCCTCTTTCTGGATGTTCTGGTGCCCCATGTTTATCCATATTAATTTGTTTCACAATGCCATTAAGTATAAGGGATATCCCACTATTGAAAATTATAAATCCCAGATCTGAACATATCTTTATCATCCGAGTGTATGAATATTTTACGTCGGAAAGAGCTGCCTTTCCAAAAACGATCAATTTTCGGTGGCATCACACTACAAAACGCCAAATAATATCAAACTGTAATTCTGATATCGACTGTAGTAGTCACTTGACTTGCTGATTTTCTCATTATAAATTGGTTTAATATAACTTACCCAATCTTTACAAGTTCTGTTCATTTAACAAGTAAAAACGATCATGTAGCATTCAAAACGTAGCTATTTTTATAACAGTCTGTTTCACGGATGTAATTACTTTCATCCACCACGAGGAAGTCTTAATAAAGTGTAGCAGCTTCTGTAAAATCAAGTTATTTCTCCAGCCAATCAACGTCATGCATGACGAACCACCGTTGAATTGAATTAGTTTTTCTTAAGCAGGAACTTAAAATTGTTTTTCTATATTAGAGATGAAACTGATTAATCAGAACCGAGCACTTGTGTAGTTTTATCATTACTTCAAGCCTTTTTTTTAGAGGGGGGGGGGGGGAAACACAACAATTTTATATAGCTCAAGTCACGTGATGATATATTTTTCAGTCCGAACATCAAACCATAACCTACATCGGTGATCCTGTTAAGGACAAGGTAAGTAGTGGGCCATTTGTTGCTAGTAGTTCTTATCCAGACATATATTAAATTTCAGTTATATACTCGGCTAAATAAGCTAAATTTATGTAATTTTTAGTTCTTAAAATATTGTCGTAATCTAAAATGATTAAATGACAATACGATAAATATAAAAGTATCGTTCTGCGGTTTGAATATAATAATCAATCTGGACTTTTTCTACTAGTATTTCTTCCTTAAACTTCGACTTGAATTTGATGACTTTCTGCCCTATGTCTTACCTAACTTTCTTATTTTCAAATGCTTCAACTATAATACAGTACCTCAAGGATTCATCAAGCCTAAATGGTGCTACAGTGCATGTAGGCCCGACACCTAGTGGAAGCAAAATCAATTACCAGGTAACGACACATAATCTCCCATATTTTAAAATGTTTTCAATGCTGTTTGCTACTGCAAATGATACAATAGCTTTTGCATTGTTTTATATTCACTTGTTTTCATGCACCTCTTATATTCATTAAAAAAAAGTTTCTTTAATATATTTTGCATTTGGTTTTATTTCGTAAGTTCCCTCCCCCCCCTTCCCCCCAAGTGGCTCAGCAGTAAGTCCGAAAACTTATAACGTTAACAACCGGGTTTCCGAAACGCGTTGTGGGCATAGGACGGATAGCCCATTGTGTAGCTTTGCGTTTAACAACAAAACAAATAAAGTTTCTCCCGGATTTACAACGCTAAAATCCGGGGTTTGATTTCCGCGGTGGATAGAGCGCAGATAGCCTAATGGGACTTTGTACTAAGACAAATAAACAACCAGTATTCCTCTAAAAGTATCAGTCCAGTCACTTTATATGTTATTTTGTTTACAGCCTGAAGATTTGTTACACAACATACTCAGGCTTGCTTTCAACTTCCTTTGGCTTTTAGAATAGCTACAATCCTGCCACTTGGTGAGTTTCGCCAAAAGATGGCATATTAATCTGGTATTTTAGCCAAGCACACATACCATCAGCAATATATCTTCTACTTAGACTTTACATAATCAAGCCAAATGTTAAAGGGGGTTTATAGGATCGTATCGTGTTAGTAAAACCGAAATGTCTTATACAGTGTAGGGCTAAAATGTGTAATGGACTGCTTCTGCTTATCTGAGAGTCGCGAGTTCGAATCACGTTCCCGATCATGCTCGCCCTTTGAGCTGTGAGGGCGTTATAATGTGATGGTCAATCCCAGTATTCGTTGTTTCAATGGAAGTTTAGGTAGAGTAAAACCAGTAGGTTTAAACAGGTTTGCGCAAAATTCAAAAACAAACAAACAATACTTTCTACCTTGCTTCTCGCGTGGGACAAGGTTTTGGTTTCATTCCTGATAACCTCTTCAGGCCACAAGTTCCAAGCTTACAATATTAACGCTGCCTGCAATACCAGTGCATTAATTGTTTGTTTTCAATGTTTAGCCACAGGAAAGTCAAACTGAAAGACAAATAAATATATCCAATTTGGATGCGTAAAAAGATCAATTAATTAAAAGAAAGTACAAATATTACATATAGTCCATGTAAGCTGGGAAGAGCGCGTCCCAGTGGTTAGCGTGTCAAAGTGTGTATTCAGAGTTCTGTATTTCGCACCCTGTTACCGCCAAATAAAAAAAATCGCCATGGATACATTATAAGAGTAACAGCCAAATTCTACTATTCAGTTAGAATAGCGGACGAGTTTGCGATGGCTGTTGTTAAGTAGTCTCACAGCCAGCCCTCGAGTAGCCTTGCTTGAAATTCAACAAGTAAACAAATTTGATACATACTTTACCATATACAGTAAACTAATAATGCAAGGTACTGCTAGTATCACCTAGATCCAATAGATCTTTATT